GTTCTACCCACAGTTATCAAGTGGCACTTGGGGTAAAAAAAGAGAAAAGAAAAAAAGAAAGAAATTTTGAGGCTGTCTCTCAGGATTTGCATGCTGTGGAAAGATTTATACCCTCTTGCAAAGAGATGAAATATTATGCAAGAGAAAGCAACCGGAGAAGCAAGTCTCATATGGTTCAGAATAACACTAATGTATCCTAGCTTATTAGAGGTGAAAGAATTACCCAACTATTTTCAAGGTGTAGGCCAGTCATTTCCTTCTAGTAGCCAAGTCCACTTTTATGCAGGCCCAGTCTCAGCCTCTGTTCTGCTTTTCATGCATTAATGCAAAGGTATGCCCAAGCCAGCTACCTTTATTCATGTTAAGTAATATCTTTTTTCTGAAAATAAGACCACAGGAATCAATGGGGAGCCATGCCCTCAGTTTATACGCAATATAGAACCCAGTGCAGGCTTTGTAAATCACTTTGTAAAAAAAGTAGTAAAGTAAAACTGGGAAAAAGCATTTGTAAGGAAAATTACTCCTTTCTTCCCTATAGGAACACTCTATTTTAGTCCATTAAGAGTCACTACTATAGCACTTAGCCTGATGCTTACAGACAAATTGCAGATCTGGGCTTAAAACAGGTATGGGGGTCAATAAACTCAAAACAGGCTGAAATATTAAATGGTTTTAAAACATGTCTACTTAAAAATGTGTTAAACTGTTAAGCCATAGCACATATCATGCATCTAGGCATGAGCTATACAAGTAAATAGCACTTATTTCCTTAGAATTATCAAGATGAGGAGTTAATTTCCCATTTAATATAATCTTTAATAACAATACACATGAATGCTGTTGATCTGCTAATATTTATATATTTTATAACCTTAGTGGCTGTTCTCTGAACAAGCAATCCTGGCATGTGATTTCCCTTCATTTTACCTTAACTCAGAAATCTTCAAACTTATTTAAATCTTGATTAATTCAAAATGTTATTAACAATATTCTTGAAAAATCCCGTATGTCTTTAAATCAGTTTGCCTTCCTTTTACAAACTATATTAGGACTTCATGTCCCTACTGTTAACAAAGTCAAACACAGGAAGAAAATCATATACAATCTGGTAATGACCTTAAACTTCAGAGATATCTTCATAAACCAAACACCAAATCAAATAATTTCTTGACTAGACCAGTGCCAAGTTACCAACAGTAGTTTTATTATAAACATTCAGCAACATGGCAAAACATTTTACTTTTAACTCTCTTATGTCCCATGTAGTGAAGACATAAAATAAAATATTTCACCTGGGGGAATGTCTGTTCACCAGAGCGCCCCAAAGGATGACGAGGTCGAATGGTTATAAACTCCTGCAAGACTGTTTCAGGCTGGACATAAGGAAGAATTTCTTTACTATCCGAGCCCTGAAGGTCTAGAATGGCCTGCCACCAGAGGTGGTTCAAGCACCTACTTTGAACGCCTTCAAGAGAAACCTGGATGTTTTTCTTGCTGGGATCCTATGACCCCAGCTGACTTCCTGCCCCTGGGGCAGGGGGCTGGACTCGATCTTCTGAGGTCCCTTCCAGCCCTAATGTCTATGAAATCTGTAATGAAAATGCTTTGCTTAAAATTTCCTTTGATTCGATATGCCTACTCTCAATTCAGGATGGCATCATTTTGAACTATATTATTTATAATAGAGGTGCACTGACATACCAGTCACATATCAGATCAGCACCAACAACAGGAAAATTAACGTTATCAGTAATTAGCTTTTTTTGGCTGATAATGATACCGATAAATGCCGTGTACATGCATGCAGCTGCAGTATGCATGCGGCCAGGAATGCAGCCCAGCAGTTTAAAGAGCAGCATCCTGCTGGTAAGTCTGTGGGGATGGAAGGGGCAGATCGAGACCCCCACGGTGAGGGAGGGAGTCAGGCAGGGGTAGCACAGGGGCTGCTCAGCCAGGGCAGGGTGCGGGATGGAGCTGCAGGCAGCTTGTTCGGGTGGGACAGCTCCTCACTGCTGTGCACATCCCCGAGGGAGGCATGAAGGGTATGTGCCCCTCAGATTTGTGCATGGGGCTCAGGCAGACTGCCTGCTGCGGTCTTGGGGACAAGGGCTGTGCCAGCCTCTTCCCAGTGTGGTGGCTGGGCAGGTTCAGCTGCATGGCGCAGGCAGCAGCTCTGGGAGGGGTGGCTATAGCCCCCCCAAGACCCCTTCCTACTAGTGCCCCTGCTCGAGGCACTGCGCTTTGCTGCAGCTGAGCCTACCTTATCCTCATCCACCCCAAGTGCAACCCCGGCCCAGCCCCCCCCACCAGGAAGTGTCTGGAGCAGCCCCTGGCCCCAAGCCCACAGTAAGCAGCATGCCCTCACCCCATGCACAAATCCGGGTGGGGGTCACATACCCCCATGACTCCCCCAGCAGCAAGGAGCTGCCTCCCCGCCATACCCTCCCCCCAGACAAGCAGTCTGCAGCTCTGCCCCATACCCCATCCCTGGGTAGTGCCTGCTCCTGCCCCTGCCCCACTCCCTCCCTCACCATGGTGGCTTCAAGCTGCCCCCCCCCACACCCCTTCCCTCCCGCAGACTTACCAGCAGGACACTGCTCTCCAAGCTGCCCAGCTGCATTCCTGTAAATTGGCTATTGGATCAGTATTGGCTGATATGGTTGGTTAATAATCAGCCACTGGTATCGACCAAGAAAATCTTTACTGGTGCACCTCTAATTTATAACATATTTTAATCCAGAAATTTAAAAGAGTAACAATTTATGCCTTGCTTGTGGGTTCTTTAGAAAGCTGTGCACATAGCAAATGGGAAAATGGTAGAAGTGCAGGGCGAAGGTTGATGCATTATTTCAATTAACCTTATACCCTACACCTATATTTAAATTGTCCAGAGACAGCTAAATAAAAACCTGTTTCATGCTGCTGGAGCTAGATTTCTGGAGGTTGGTTACACTGACCTCTTACTGTTTGATGTCTGGGTTTTTGTGTTTAAAAACAACAGGATTATTTTTCTAACGAATTTCAAGTGGGTGCTGACATGATTCTTCAAGAGAAAAACTGAGTACAGTTTTCTGACATAGTTGTTCAAATGAACTAATTTTTTTTGCAGTATTTGAAAAATTAAACACTATGGGGATACATTTTATTGCGCACACATAATTCAAGCTAGTTGCATCCTCTATAATAAAAGATTTTTTTTTGCTTCAACATTTGCATTTCAGACAAGAAACGTGATGAACCACTCACAAGTGCTTAGCCATACCCCTGAATCATGCAACTCGGGAACCTTAAATCTTTTGGTCTTGGCCTGGCTGGAATCCAGAAAGACCAGCAGGTTTCTGAAAAAAAAGAAAGCTGCCACCTTAAGGGCATGGACATGACAACTGTCCTGAGCTAAAGGAAGAAGCATCTTACCACACCTCAGCTCCATCGCTCTCGTGTGTCTGTTCCTGTCCAAAGATAAGCAAAAGCTAAACTGGGGCCTAGTAGTACATTCACCTGCAACAGTTGGAAATCATTGGATTTTAGTGACCTATGAAGGTGAGAGCGTGTTAGGAAACAGCCCTGGCCTGAAAAGACACCCATACACGTGCCTGATGCCTGCTCCAAAGTATTCAAATTAGAACGTGTCGAAGCGGACTTCATTAACCAAGTCTGCTGGAGCTTGCTAATTAGCACGCTCCAGCAGCCTCAGTGTTGAGTGTATTCAGCATCCCTGTGCTTCCAAATGGTGGTGGGGGCATGCGAACCAAAGCTCATCAAACAAGCTTAAAGTTAAACCAGTGGGGGCATGCGAACCAAAGCTCATCAAACATGCTTAAAGTTAAACCCCCCCCGCTGCCATTTTGAAGCATGGGATGCTGAATACAAAAGATGCTACGGGTGTTTTAATTAGAGCCTCTCCCGAGAGCCGCTCTAATTAAAGCCCCCCCCTCCCAAGCGCATATAAAAACACCCAAAGGGAACAACTCTGTAATGCCACGAGGGTACTTAACACACACTAAACTGCCTGAAAGCACATCTGCTTGCATTTTTACAGCGCTTAGTGAGTGTTAAATTGGATGTGTATAAATGAACAGAGCTAAGCTACCCACCAGAACTTCCTCCGACCATGAGAGGGGAGTGGAAACACGAATTAGCTACCACACATTAGCTGAGATTCAAGCCCCTCCATTTTTAATTTGGACACATTTGTTTGTCTCTCCATACCCTAGCCCAGGGGTGGGCAAGATGTGGCCCACCAGGCCATTCTATGCGGCCTGTGGGGCCCCTTAACATTTTAGAAAATTAATATTTATCTGCCCTTGGCTACCTGTCACGAGGCCCTCAATGGCTTGCCAAGACTCAGTAAGCGGCCCTCCGCCCGAAATAATTGCCCACCCCTGCCCTAGCCAGACAAGTCTCGCCTGCCGTTTCTTGGCTTGCAAAGAACTGGTTTAACTAGACAGGTCTCTTAGTACCCTTGTTCCTTGTAGTTACTATATATGGGTGGACCCTGCACAGTTGCAGGAAGTTGTCCTGTCCCTTCCCACCAAAACAGAATTGTAACAGGAAGATGCAGATATTAAAGGTAACGAGCTGATCAGATTCATGGTCTCCAAAACCCCGAGCAAGTGGTATTGCTCCTACATGTTCACTGGAAATTGTCACTACATGTTCACTGCAAATTGTACTATCTAAAGGCTTAAGGGAGGTTTAAAAATACACCCCTGTGACTCTTAGGCCTCAAAAAGGAGAAGTATCACGTAGCTTAGCCCACGGTACAAAGAACATAGTTTCTTGTTCTGAAAGCAGCAGGATGTAGATTAAAGATATCACTAAAAGAAAAAAAAACCCCAAAAAACAAAAACCACCTGTGACTAATAAATCCTGTAGTGACCCAAGATTTGCTTCTAAGGACAACCAATGTTTCAAATATTTTTGCTTTTGACACACATGATCTTTCATGTTGTATTGCTGCCCAGATTTCAACCAAATACTTTGGAAATGACAGTGCTTACCCAAATCTGCAGTTTTACTCGCTTGTCGTTCCTACAAACCGTTTTCACTTTGAAGTCAATGCCGACTGTGCTCACAAAGGCTGGAGTGAAAGTGTCATCGGCATATCTGAAGAGGAAGGAGGTTTTACCCACGCTGCTGTTGCCAATGATTAGGAGTTTGAACATGTAATCAAAATTTTGGTCTGAAGCATCTTTGTTTCTGTATCGGGCATCTGCTACTGAAGCCATCTAAAAAAGGAACAACAACATGAGGCAAATTTCAGAATAGTTCAGTGTTTACTGCCTGGAGCTCAGCACCTTGTGCTCAGCTAACCTGTGCTCTCTGAAAATAAAAGCATTAGCTATTTAAGAAGGGAAATACACTTTGCAATCACCTATGTAGGGCCTCATTTTCATTCCTATTATCTATTTGTGCCTAGAACATAAATCTGATGCACTGATCTGGGTTCAAAGAGAAAAATGGGTGGTTATTTGCAACTATTCAAATATTAAAGGAGAAAGAGCATTCTTACTTGAATGACAACGTGCAACTTAGGCTGCTTAAAGGAGCTGATTTGCTACAGCAGAGAACTAAAATATCTAGTATGATGCACAAGTTCAGTAGCCCAGACAGTTCACAAAGGCAACCATGGTGACGGGTAGACAGAAACAGTTCCAATAATGACTCCTGAACCAAAATGTTAAACCCCCAAAATGGCCATTTTTTAATTGTAAGCCAGGCCTGCTTTTCAAGAGTGATAGAAGTCTTGGGGGAGGTGGGTGGGGAAGGGAAACTTCTCCCTAAATAAATGAATCACATATCTTCATTCAAAATTATAATTAATATAAATGACGTTGCTGTTGTATGGGTGGTTCAGGGGACTGTCAGTGGCATTGTGAAAAGACAGAATATGCCTGTGGGTCATCAGGAGATGTGGAAAATGTAGCAAGCTGTGAAAAATCTCTGCCTTTTGGGTAATTCAACTGGATTCAGTGATCAAAAAAGAGTCCAGTGTCTAAAAAATTAAGATAGGCAGAACTCGTCTGCTGTGCTTTACCCAAATGCTTTACCAGACAAAGGTTTGTTCAGAGGAGAATGGGCCAAAACCTTATGAGCGTACAGGGCATCTCCTTCCCCTTTTGCCTTTTCATCTGTTTGTAGACTGATAGGGGAGAACGTTTTGGACAGAAGCGAGTTGGAAAGAGTTTACTGCATGATGGACACACGCAAGCTTTCATGCCTGGAGGGCAGTTTGAAAACTAACTTGAGCCGAAAGGTCACCGACTGCACCGGCATCTGGCAACAGCTTCATGGCTTACATGAAATGAGTCCGCACGTGCCTTCTTGGCAAAATAAGTTAGGCCACGCGGATGTCTGTGCTGCCACAGCAAGACTACTAGCGCCCAGCTTAGATTTTTCTGAAGTGCCTCTATGCTGAGCCGCAGTCCGTAGTACCGACATACTCGGTCTCAGCACAGTGGCGATCCAGCAGGCATCTACAGCACTGAAATCAAGCACCATTAACTTTCCACTACTTGTTTCTGGGGTCCGAGGTGAAGGAGTCAGTCTCCCCATTTTGTACCCAAAGGCAGAGGAAGGAGCATCTTCAGGAGCAAGAGCCCTGTCGGCAGCGGGGTTGTTCGTAAACTGTCACATGATATCCACTCTACCCTACCCGGGAAGCACCAGAAAGGGAAGGCAGTAGAGGAAGATGCCTGCTCTGCTGCTTATGCACTGCTGAAGGGAGCCACGTACTAGACAAAGTAAGCAGTGAAAGTAGTCTGAACCAGCTCAGGAATCCTAGTCTACACCAAACACAGACAGAAACGACAGTTTTCGCCTGATCTGGCCCCTGAAAGCGCTCTACAGCCGTGACCAAATAGAAGCGTATGGCTGCGGAGCACTTTAAAAGGGCCCAGTCCTATGAAAATCTGAACCCTCATTACATGAAGGTTCAGAGGAAGACGCTCCAAAATGGAGTGGCTTCAGTAAGGTCTGTCTGCGCAGCCCCTCAGCCCCAGCACCATTTTCAGAATGGGAGGAGGGAGTTGGTCTGGGGCTTTTTCAGCCAGTGCTGAAGGGTGGGATGAGTGGACTGGAGCCCACCCAAAGCAGGGGAACACCAACCCACCCACCCCAGCATCCAGTGCCAGCCGGGGAACCCCTAGAATGAGCTCCCTCTGCTCCCTTTCCCCTCTCCCATTCTGAAAACGGTGCCAGGGCTGGGAGGGAGGAGGGCCGTTGTTAGGGGAAACTGGTTTCAGGCTCAGCCAGCATACTTCTGTTGGATCCGGGACAGTGGCAATGCATAGGGGGTGCACGTGCACCCCCTGACAGCAGCATTCCCCACTTAGGCAATGGGCAAGGCAGGCAGGCGAGAACGCTGGTGCCCCTGAGAGCACCGGCCGGGGAGCAGGGGCACTAGGAGAAGTGATCCCTGCAGTCCCCCCACGACCGATCGCGCTGACTGGGGGTGGAGGGGTGGAGGTTCCCTCATGGCTGGTCATGCTGGCACTTCTGTGTTGGAGAGATCTGCCATAGGGGGACCCCGGGGTGGGAGAGACCGCCCAAGGGGGGCCCCCCCCCCCCGGTCACTGAGTGGCCACTAGGGGGGGCAAGTGCCCTCCTGACTCAGGAAGCACCAGTCGCCCATCATCTGGGTTAGCACTGTAACTCATTGCACTTCCTGTGAAGCACCACGATTTACAATGGGGAGCTGCACTTCTGTCTGCACCAAGGAAACTTGTTCCTGTACTCTGGCTACTGACTGAATTGAAGTTAGGGAATCTCTCTCAAACACTGCCTCC